GGAGGAGGAATCAGCGCATGTTGAATGGACGGGTGTATGGCTATCGACAGTCGAATCCGTTTGCGAATGTGCAGGATAATGAACCCGAGTTTGTAGAGTGGGGACATGGAGGTGCGGGGAGTGTGAGGAGTAATAATTCGACGGGCAGTAGCATGTATGCCGGTGTGCAGAGTGCTGGCAGAGTTAGTATTGGACATACCGGACAGGGAGCCGGAACTGGTGCTGCTAATAGTGGAGGTGGAGGTGGAGAGGATGAGGATGATGGGAGTGGCGTGGCGTGGCTTCGGAAACGACGAGAGGCGCGCGAGAGGGAGCGTCGTGAAAAGGAGGCGGTGAGTCTGATTGCTTACGGCCCAGAATGTTTATTGACGATTTACGTTGTGTAGGCTGAGGCGAAAGCAAAAGAGGATGCCGCCAAGACGGACGTGGATCCCACCGCCGGCAAAGAACAAGTTGATACGACCACCACGACTACCGCTGATAATGCGGAAAGTGCTGCCGCGGGTGGAGATAAGCCAGGGACGAATGGGGATTCGTCCGAGGACAAGGTTCAAGAGGGGATCGAGGTCGATCGGCTCGTTCCGCCTCCCTCTGAACATGGCCCTACCGTTCCCTCGGCCGTTGCCGAACCATCGTCCGTTACCGCGGTTCCAGAAGACAAGCAACACGAGTCGGTTACTCACGAACGTGCGATGATGATGATGGGTGGAGGTGGATCGATGACTCCGATTATGGAAGTGGATGTCGCGTCGCCTGCTTCGTCCAAGGATGGAGCAGGGACGCCGTTGATGGCTAAAGAAGAACACCATGTTACGGCTGTTACGGTTCCGGTGGCCCATCACCATCATCATCACCACCACCATCATCATAAACATGATACATCAGGGGATGCTGCTCCTAATATCACCACCACTACTACCACTACGACGACGACGGTTGTACCCGACTCGAACGCTTCGACTGCCTCGACCGTCTCGTCCTCTTCCTCTTCCACGTCTTCGTCGAGTAGAGGTGGGGAAGGTGATGGGGAGAGTGATGAGACGGAGGATGAGGATGCGACGGATAGTGGTACGAGTGAGGAGGAGGAGGATGAGGAGAGTGGAGAGGATACAGAGGGTGAGAGTCGTGTTACGAGTCGGTGTGCGGGTGTCGAAAAGGTGTCGAGGCACAAGGAACAGTGCTAATCTGCTCGTCTCGTCCTCTCGTCTCATCCGGATTATTCTATGGGGCGAGTCGCGCCTGGCGATGTCAAAGAACTCAAGGCAGTCCCGATACTCTCTCGCATCTTGGCCGCTCTATATCCACCCGATTATTCTATTCACTCATCCTGCACACACCCTTCCTGGTCATGACGACCATCTGTAGAGTATGTTATATCCCCCCTCTCCCTATTCTTATACGTGGTTCCATCCACGTCGTTTTCTCTCTATTCACAAGAATCGCAACTCTCACTTTCACAATCAACAATCATCAATCATGCTGTACCAGTAGAAATCGTCAAAGTCGGACCCCAAGGAATGAACGCAAAAAGTATGCCCCATCCCCTAGACACACACTATGCGCACCTCTAGGTACATTCTTCCCCTTGATACTCTTTATCCTCCTTCGCTCCCTTAATCTGGCTGTTTATGAAGGAACGATTTCTTCAAACTTTTTTGTATAACTATCCCAACTCATCGTCCATTCTCTTATTCGATACGCTTTCATATATTTTTCTCCAACAATCTCCCTTTACGATTCCGCTATTACCATTCGCTATCGACCGCATACCTGGCAACCACAAAAAGGACTATCAAGGTACTTTTTGGTGTGCGTGTGTTTGTGCTAGTATGGGTTACTATCGTTTTTTCGGCTTTGGCTCTGTTTGTTTCCCTTGGGGTCTCGACACTCTCTGCGTTTGGTTCCATCCCATCTCTCTATTTCCGTTCCTTTTCTCTATTCCATCCACCCTACCCATTCCATTCCATACTCTTCATCAAAAGGTCCCACAATGAAGCGCCATGACAATAAGATGATTTGAAAGGCAGCAAAACGGTCGAATTCTGGGAGCAAAGTACCCCTCGATCGACTCTGGCTGGGAAAGCGCTGGCCCGCTGGCCAAACTAGGATCCGACCGACCGACTCCATCGCCAACTTCCGGCATTCATTTCATCAGTTCATGAAAAACACGAGGGGGAAGTCGGTCTCTTCAACTCGATAAACTTTTCTCTCAATACAAGTAGAAAGCTCCCGACTCACGAACTCGAACAAGAGTTAAGACGAAAAGCGGGAAAATGTTCTTGTATACATGTACCAAATGTGTCCAGAATCAGCGCGACACACCCGTATCTTTGATTCTTATTGATATACATTTATCACGAGCAGCAAAGAAAAACGTCAGAAAGGGGGTCTGATGGAGTGGAGTGATGGAATGGAATGGGTAGGGTGGATGGAATAGAGAAAAGGAACGGAAATAGAGAGATGGGATGGAACCAAACGCAGAGAGTGTCGAGACCCCAAGGGAAACAAACAGAGCCAAAGCCGAAAAAACGATAGTAACCCATACTAGCACAAACACACGCACACCAAAAAGTACCTTGATAGTCCTTTTTGTGGTTGCCAGGTATGCGGTCGATAGCGAATGGTAATAGCGGAATCGTAAAGGGAGATTGTTGGAGAAAAATATATGAAAGCGTATCGAATAAGAGAATGGACGATGAGTTGGGATAGTTATACAAAAAAGTTTGAAGAAATCGTTCCTTCATAAACAGCCAGATTAAGGGAGCGAAGGAGGATAAAGAGTATCAAGGGGAAGAATGTACCTAGAGGTGCGCATAGTGTGTGTCTAGGGGATGGGGCATACTTTTTGCGTTCATTCCTTGGGGTCCGACTTTGACGATTTCTACTGGTACAGCATGATTGATGATTGTTGATTGTGAAAGTGAGAGTTGCGATTCTTGTGAATAGAGAGAAAACGACGTGGATGGAACCACGTATAAGAATAGGGAGAGGGGGGATATAACATACTCTACAGATGGTCGTCATGACCAGGAAGGGTGTGTGCAGGATGAGTGAATAGAATAATCGGGTGGATATAGAGCGGCCAAGATGCGAGAGAGTATCGGGACTGCCTTGAGTTCTTTGACATCGCCAGGCGCGACTCGCCCCATAGAATAATCCGGATGAGACGAGAGGACGAGACGAGCAGATTAGCACTGTTCCTTGTGCCTCGACACCTTTTCGACACCCGCACACCGACTCGTAACACGACTCTCACCCTCTGTATCCTCTCCACTCTCCTCATCCTCCTCCTCCTCACTCGTACCACTATCCGTCGCATCCTCATCCTCCGTCTCATCACTCTCCCCATCACCTTCCCCACCTCTACTCGACGAAGACGTGGAAGAGGAAGAGGACGAGACGGTCGAGGCAGTCGAAGCGTTCGAGTCGGGTACAACCGTCGTCGTCGTAGTGGTAGTAGTGGTGGTGATATTAGGAGCAGCATCCCCTGATGTATCATGTTTATGATGATGGTGGTGGTGATGATGATGGTGATGGGCCACCGGAACCGTAACAGCCGTAACATGGTGTTCTTCTTTAGCCATCAACGGCGTCCCTGCTCCATCCTTGGACGAAGCAGGCGACGCGACATCCACTTCCATAATCGGAGTCATCGATCCACCTCCACCCATCATCATCATCGCACGTTCGTGAGTAACCGACTCGTGTTGCTTGTCTTCTGGAACCGCGGTAACGGACGATGGTTCGGCAACGGCCGAGGGAACGGTAGGGCCATGTTCAGAGGGAGGCGGAACGAGCCGATCGACCTCGATCCCCTCTTGAACCTTGTCCTCGGACGAATCCCCATTCGTCCCTGGCTTATCTCCACCCGCGGCAGCACTTTCCGCATTATCAGCGGTAGTCGTGGTGGTCGTATCAACTTGTTCTTTGCCGGCGGTGGGATCCACGTCCGTCTTGGCGGCATCCTCTTTTGCTTTCGCCTCAGCCTACACAACGTAAATCGTCAATAAACATTCTGGGCCGTAAGCAATCAGACTCACCGCCTCCTTTTCACGACGCTCCCTCTCGCGCGCCTCTCGTCGTTTCCGAAGCCACGCCACGCCACTCCCATCATCCTCATCCTCTCCACCTCCACCTCCACTATTAGCAGCACCAGTTCCGGCTCCCTGTCCGGTATGTCCAATACTAACTCTGCCAGCACTCTGCACACCGGCATACATGCTACTGCCCGTCGAATTATTACTCCTCACACTCCCCGCACCTCCATGTCCCCACTCTACAAACTCGGGTTCATTATCCTGCACATTCGCAAACGGATTCGACTGTCGATAGCCATACACCCGTCCATTCAACATGCGCTGATTCCTCCTCC